TCCTTCCCCCCCTGGCCCATACGTGGCTCGCGCCACCTCGGTTCGCCCCACGCTGTCCGCTTCGCTCTCCCGTTTCAAGCTCAGACGTAGCAGCAGGCTCTCTCAGACCCCGCTCTTGCTCTCTTCCACCCCCCCCCCCCCCAGTCCAGGCGGGGGGCCATTGCTCCATCGCTGTGACGCTATGCAAATGCTCGTAGGCTGAAAGTGGGTAATACTTGGATGTGTGCGAGCCACATCGAGGGGGCGCCGCAGACGTGTGTGTGCGCGCGGGGCGCGCCTCACTCGAGCTCCGCCTCGTCGGTCTCCTCGCCGTCCTGTCCGAGCGCCGTGGCGCTGGGGCGGAAGACGTGCAGCACATTGTCCTCGGCGACGGTGGCCATGTGCCACTCGGCCTGCGGGCTCCAGCAGATGTCCTGTTGTTGTTGTTGTTGTTTGAGGGGAAAAAGAGAGGCTGGGTCAGCACACACACACACGCAACACAGGCCCCTCGGTCCCGCCCCCCCCCCCCCCCCCGAAATTCGTGCAGCAAAACGCACCGTCGTGCGCGCCGTGTGCCCGCCGTGGACGAAGAGCAGTTCTGGCGGCCCGTCCTCTGCGTCCTCTGCGTGCAAGGGGGGGGGCAACGTCATGAGCAACACACACAAGCGACAGCAAAGACACGATGGTTCAACGTCCGCCCGGCCTCAAACGCACCTGGCGTCTGTTCCTCGCCGATCTTCGAGAGGTCCCACACATTGACTCGCCGATCAGCCGCGGCGCTTGCCAGGCTGGAAGGAAAGGGGGCCGCAAGGCTTGTCAGCTTCCCCCCAGCTGGCATCTCCACAGACTCTGCAGCCTCCCTCCCCATACGCACATTGTCTCGTTGTGGGGCGACCAGGCAAGCTGCAGGATCTCGTCGGTGTGTGCCTCGAGGCTGTGCAGGCGCGTCTTTGTGTTGCGCAGATCCCACACTCCCACCGTCTGGGTTGGCGGCCAGGCTATATCAGCAGACGGCCTTTTTCACGCCACAGCGCGCGCGCGCGCGCGCGCGCGCGCGGGGGGCCCCGACTCACCTTGTCCGACGAGCCCGTGCACAGCAGGTACTCGTTGCCCGGGCTGAAGACGACGGCATTGATCTCGCCGTCGTGCGCCGTGACGCGATGCTTTGGCGTGTCGCCCGACTCGCGCGTGTCCCAGCTGGGGGGTGGTGCAGGGAATTACCTAGTCAGCCCCCCGCGCACGCCTCTCCGCCTGCCAGGATTCCTCGGCCCCGCCGCCGCCGCTCACAGAAGCAGCAGCTTGTCGTCGCCCACGCTCGCAAACAGACTCTCGTGGCTCGCATGCCATGCAACATCCTGCGCGCCGGGGGGGGGGGGGGGGGGCACGTCAGCCTGTGCCCGCTTTCTCGCTTTTGCCTGGCGCTGCTCGCGAAACCTCACCTCGACGACGGCAGTGTGCCCTCTGTACGTCTTCAGCGGCTCCAAGACATTGTCGCTCTTCTTGTACTGATTCACATCCCACTCGCACACCGTCTGGTCCTCCGACGCCGCCAGGATGTGGCCCTGCTTCAAGGGCGACCAGGCCAGGCCGTAGCTGCGGCGAGACGAGGTGAGCATGGGCTGCAGTGACGCACGGCAGAGGGCCGCCAGCTGTTGCCCGATGTCAGACTCTTTACAGCCCAGCAAACGCCTCGGCGCTGGCATCTCTCCTGCCGCTACTCCCTGTCCCTTTGGCGCCCCCTGCCCTGCCGCCGCGCGCACTCACCCTTCCCCCGTCTGGCCCTTGAGCACAATGTCCGGGCGGCACTTGCCGTCGGCGTTTGGCATGAGCGAGTGTTTTGTGCGGTCAAAGACGTAGGTGTGGCCCATGACGGTGCGCGTGGCGATGAGGTCGCAGTTCTGCGGACAGTAGCGCGCGCGGTTCACCTCGCCGTCGTGGTTGATCTTCTGGAGGATCTGGATGCGCGCCGAGGCACCGCCGTACGAGCCGATCTCTGCGCAAACGGTCACACGCAGCAGGAATCAGCCATCTGCGCTTGCATGGGACTGCAGAGAACCTCTGTGCAACCTCACCGCCGCGGTCCTCGTCGTACTTCTTCGTGTCGACGTCGACATCCTGGTTCGGCAGCTGCACCTGCGCAATCTGCAGGTAGTTCTGGTCCTGCCCGCTCGTGTGCGTGCCGAGCAGCAGGCGGTGCTGCGTGTAGTCCTTGCCCGCCGGCCTGTTGCTCGCGCCCCCGACGTCAGCGCGCGCGCGCCCGGGAGACGAGGCCGCCGCTGCCCCTCTGCGTGCTCACCGCTCGCGGTCGGGGAACCACTGGCACGTCAGACTGGGCCACTCGAGCGCATGCGTGACGACGGTGTCGTAGAGAAAGGGCGCATTCTTCTTCCAGACTGCGGACAGCGGCGCGTGAGCATGGCCCTCGCCTCGGCTCAGCGCCGGCCGCACGCACTCTTGTACTCCTGCCGGCAGGCGAGGCGAGACGCATGTGAGCCAGAGGGAGGTGGCAGCGCAGCACAGGCGCACGCACCTCGTTGGACACCTGTGCGGCGGTGATGTCGTCGTCGGCCATGGCAGAGGCGGGGCGGGGGGTGTGTGGTGTGCGCGGCGGTGTGTGTGGACGGGAGATGAGGCGCGGCGTCGTCGTGCGCACGCACGCGGCACGCATCTTCCACGCCGGCGCGCGGCGGCGCAGACTCCAGGCATATGAGAGGCTCGACTGCGAGCTGCAGCCGCCGCCACGCACGGCGACGGCGCGCCTGCGCTGGCTCGTGGCCGGCGTGGCCGCCGCACGCGCCGCACACGCGCGTCGACGCGTAAACGAGGGCGTGGGAACGGGCGCACACTGGCGCCGTGCCCGGCCGGCTCGCGGCGCAGGTGTTGGACTCGAGCGGTGCGGCGCGCGGCGGCGGCGCGCTGCTCCACCCTTCCGCCACCACCTCGCCCCTCCTGCGCAGCACCCTCTCCGCCGCACTTTCCCCTCGCTCGCGCCCTCACTCCGCCACTCTCACCTCTCACTCCGCTCCGACACTCCATCACTGCGCCTGCAGCATGTCGCAGCGGCCCAGCCAGCGCGCGGCCGGCGGCGACGACGAGGCCGAGGAGGACGGCATGGTCGGCCCCATGCTGGTGCAGAAGCTCGAGGTGAGGCGGCGGGCGCTTGGTGCGCGTGCATGTCACTGGCGGCGCAGCAGCTCACTGGCGCGCGGCGCGGCTGGCAGGAGTTCGGCATCTCGGCCTCGGACACCAAGAAGCTCGCAGAGGCCGGCTTCTACACCGTCGAGGCCGTCGCCTTTACGCCCAAGAAGACGCTGCTCACCGTCAAGGGCATCTCCGAGGCCAAGGCCGACAAGATCCTCGCCGAGGGTCAGTGTGTCGGGTGTGCTGCATGCGTCTGCTCGCTGCCTTCTCATGCCTCTCTCTGCCCTCTCCGCAGCGGCCAAGCTCGTGCCCATGGGCTTCACCACCGCCACAGAGTACCACCACCGCCGCACGGAGCTCGTGTCGATCAGCACGGGCAGCAAGAATCTCGACAACATCCTCGGCGGCGGCATGGAGACGGGCAGCATCACCGAGCTCTACGGCGAGTTCCGCACGGGCAAGAGCCAGCTGTGCCACACGCTCGCCGTCACATGCCAGGTGAGACCGGGCGGGCATGGGCGCGACGTGGCGCAACTCGGTGCCGCGTGGCTGACGTGTGCGCACAGCTGCCAATAGACATGGGCGGCGGCGAGGGCAAGTGTCTCTTCATCGACACGGAGGGCACTTTCGTGAGCAGCGCGTGAGACAGGCGCCCACAGCTCACGCTGCTGACGACGGGCCTCGCGCAGCGTCCCGTGCGTCTGCTGGCAGTGGCGGAGCGCTTCGGCCTCAACGGCGAGGAGGTGCTGGACAACGTGGCGTACGCGCGGGCGTACAATGCCGACCACCAGCAGGAGCTGCTGCTGCAGGCCGCCGCCATGATGGCCGAGTCGCGCTTCTCGCTGCTCATCGTCGACTCGCTCACGTCGCTCTACCGCACCGACTTTGCGGGCCGCGGCGAGCTGAGCGCGCGGCAGGGCCATCTGGCCAAGTTCTTGCGCAGCTTGATGCGCCTGGCCGACGAGTTTGGAGTCGCCGTCGTCATCACCAACCAGGTCGTGGCGCAAGTCGATGGCGCCGGCTATCCGGGCGCGGACAACAAGAAGCCGATTGGCGGCAACATTGTCGCGCACGCCAGCACAACACGGTGCGTCGGCGGGGCCCTCTGCCGCTTCTCCCCCACCCTGCTGGCGGGCCATGCTGACGATTGGGCGCGCAACACCTCAGACTGCAGTTCCGAAAGGGCCGCGGCACGCAGCGCATCTGCCGCATTGCCGACTCGCCGTGCCTGCCCGAGGCCGACGCCGTCTTCTCCATCGGCCCAGAAGGCATCACGGACCCGGTGCGTGCTTGGCGCAAAGCTGCATCTGCCGGCCCCCCCGCGCGCGCTCACGTCCCTTCTCACAGATTGACTGAGCCTCTGCGCGCTCGCTGCCTCTCTACACCCGCCTGCCACTCACGTCCGCCTCCTGCATCACCTTTCTCACGTTACCGTGTACTCTAGCCCCGCACAGCGTTCCCGTCAAGTCAAAAGCCATCCCATTCTCGACAAGCTGGTTTGGAGGAAGCGACGGAGGCGCGGGACATGCGAAAGCCGGGACAGGGGAACGATGGGCGAGAAGCGTAAGGCGAGCAGCTGGTGAGGCACGGGCAAGGGGCGTAGAAGGTCGTGCTTGTGTGCGCCCGGCTCGCGGCCGAGCGCGGAGGTGACGGAAGGCGTGGACGCAGGACGCAAGAGCGGAATGACGAGGCTCGAGACGCGAGGCGGGAATGGCGATGCTTCAAGGATTAGACGAGGCCGGAGTGTGCTGAGGGGTGTTCAAGAAGGGTAGTCGATGCTTGGGAGGCGCGCCGCAGAAGCTAGCCGCTCCAGTCGGCTTGGCCTCGCGGCGGGAGGGCGGTGGAAGAGCGTCCGATGCCCGCTCTACAGAGTGCCGGCGGAGAAGTGCGAGGGCGGATGCGCGTGCGTGACAAAGTCGTGGAACTGCTGCGGCTCGTACGTGTGCGAGAAGGTCATGAGCGGCTGTTGCTGGTGCTGCGATGCGCCGTGCGGGTCGTACTTGAGCATGTCGGGCTGCGCGGCGTGGCCGAAGGGTCCGGCGCTGAGCGACGAGAAGGGCGTGTGGGCCGCCGCAGCAAAGGCGCCGCCGAGCGCAAGGTGCGAATTGGTCGGCGTGCTGGGCGCCGAGCTCTGCAGCGTCGACGTGCTCGAGCCGCCGGTGTAGGCCGGGTGGGGCAAGTCGCTCGGCGAGTGGCGAGCACTGGGACGCGGCGTGCGCGGCGAGGCGAGGTGCGGCTCGAGCTTGTACTGCTGCTGCTGTTGCGCCTGCTGCACGTGCGCCTGGTGCGTGCCGTGGAAGGCCGGCTGCTGGTGGTGGTGGTGGTAGTGCATGTGCTGCGAGGCAGCCGAGTGCGCACTGTCGGCGCTGAGCTGCATCTGCTGCTCGAAGTGCGAGCGCGACTCGAAGCTGTCGAACATGTTGACGTGCTGCGGCAGCTGCTGCGCGTCGTGGTGCTGCAGCTGCAGCGGCGTCGGCTGCGCAAGCAGCATGCTCTGCGCCGGCAGCTCGCCGCCGCCGCCGTGGAAGGAGAGCGGACTGGCGGCGCCAAAGTGGTGCGCCTCGCTCGACGTCGCCACGCTCTGCCCGCACTCCATCGAGTCGTCGCCGCCGAAGCGCGACGACGGCTGGCTCGTGAGCGCCGACTCGTTGTACGACGTGCTGTCGCGGCTGTCGGCGTACGCGCCGTCTTCCTCGTCAGCGGCGTCGTCGTCATCGTCGTCATCGTCGTCGTCGTCGTCGTCGTCGTCGTCGAGGTCGTCGCCCGGACGCCGGACGTACTGCTGTGCCTCGACGACGTGATGCATGGCGCCGGCGCCGAAGAGCGGAGCGGCGTTGTTGGTGCCGAACGCGCCGACCATGCCCGGCAGCAGGGCGGCAGCGGCAAAGTCGGCCTCGCCGAGGGTGCGGCGCGAGTTGCGAGTGGAGCGGCCGGCACGCAGCGGCATGACGGGCACGGCGCTCATGTGCGGCACGATGCCGCCGCCGACGAAGCTGTTGCTGCTCATGACCACGGGTGCCCGCGCGCCCGGCTCGAGACGGTGCGAGCTGACGAGCTGCGGGTGGGCGCGGCGCGTGTGCTTGGTGAGCGTCATTTTGCGGCAGTAGCTCTTGCCGCAGCCCTGCCGCATGCCCGTCAGCACCCCCCGGGAGAGCAAGCAGCCCGAGTCATTGCTCACCTGCACAAGGCAGCGGTACGGACGACGGCCGGTGTGGATGCGGCGATGGCGAGCGAGCGAGCTAGAGTCGGCACTAGGGGCAGCGTAGTGCTTGTCAGCGCGTGCACACGACGCCGCTCCGACGGCGACCAGTACTCACAACGCCTTGTCGCAGAGATTGCATTGGTGCGGTCGCTCGCCTAAAGGGCGAAGGAGGATCAGCCGGCACCGAGCGTGATGGCATGCCATCATGCGCACCAGTGTGGACGCGGACGTGCACCGTCAGTGCCGAGCGCTGAATGAAGGTCTTGCCGCACTTCTTGTGCGAGCACTTGAAGGGCCGCTCGTTGAGATGGATGCGGTTGTGCCTAGGCAGGGCAAGGCAAGGGTGTCGAGTTAGCTTCTCTCATGCGGGCATATGCGAAGGGATGCGCCGAGGCCGATCTCGGACGGGACGATGCCGAGCGGCGGAGCGTTTCTGATGCAGGCAGCGTGGAAGACAAGGACCCCTGGCGCCTGCACACCGACGCGGCACGCGCGACGCGGCGGCAGACGCGTTGTCCGTGATGCTCTTGTCCTCACTCCGCACAGACGCTCGCATGACACGAGCGCAATGCTCGCCGGCAGAGGGCTTGCAGGCTCATTGCAAGCCCTCTCAAGCCCTCTCTGGCCGTCGTGGCTCGGCATGACAGCAACTGTCACCGCTCGGCTCCGCACTTTTGTTTGTTGCGTGACACGGTGTGCGCCGACCTCGTGCAGCACCTGCTCCTCCCAAACCCGAGGCGGAGCTCGAACGGCGACGATGACAAGGCACAGAGACTCACCGTGCCAAGTCCGAGCGGCTGATAGCGGCCATGGTGCAGACAAAGGAAAACGGGGACGGGCCGGCGGATCGGCGATTGAAACGTGCACGCGATGACGGTGAGGAGAGGGGAACAGGGCGACAAAGGAGGGCGTCTGTCAAGCGCTACGCTGACTCGCCGCTGCAGCGCAGCACTCACCGGCTGAATGCCTTTGGGCAGCCGCGAAATGCACACTCGAACGGCCGCGCCTCTGCCCGGTGGTCGTCGTGTACGAGCTCTGCAGCTGGAAGTCAGGCGCGAGACGCAGCTCTTGGGCGCATATGACGCACCGAGAATGTCCATGTCGTGAGGCGTTTGCGGTGAGTTGCAAGCCAGTCGTCGTTGAGAGCGAGGCGTCGTGTTGCGAGCGTGCGGAGGACGAGGCCGAGTGGAGGCGAGAGGTGTCGGGATCAGGAGGAGACGCTGGCGCCGGGCGGCGCTTAAGAAGGATCTGCCTTGCTGGCCAGCGCGCAAGGCGCTGCGAGTGGCTGATCAGGTACCGAAGGCCGCTCGCTGGCGCACGCCGGAGAGGAGCAGGACAGAGGACGGCTGCCGGCGGCAGGCGCCTTGTCAGTCGAGAGGCTGCGCTGCTCTGGCTCGGCGCCTTGCCACGCCGGCAGAGGAGAGCTCTCCTCCTCGCCCGGTCGGGAGGTGGCGCCTGCTGCAGATGGGCGCAGCGATGCAAGCCTGCGCAGCTGCGGCCATGCGGCCGTGCAGTAGCAGCATGCAGAGCGGGCAGCTGCGCAGAAGAGCAAGTGTGCATTCGGCTGGCCCCATCGGGATGAGGGAGGCCTTGCCCGACCTGCCCGTCTGGGGCGTGCCGGCGCGGCTCCGCGGTGCCCCTGACGCGGCGCTGACGCGCTTGCGCTGGGCACCGCAGCCCGCGGCGGCGGCGTGCGGCCAAATTTCGAACACGCGCGAGGCGCTGCCGCTTGCGCTGGGCCGGCTTCGCGGCGTTGCTTTGTCCAGCGCTTCAGCTGCAGCGCCAGCCTCGCCTCGCCTTGGCTGCCCGGCATGGGGACCGAGGGGCACTCGACGCTCTTGCGCGCAGTGAGATCGCGGCGACGAACGCTTTCTTTGCCACGCAGCACGGCGGCGTCAGGGCTGAGGTGCGCCGGGAGGAGGGCGCTTCAGCCCTCCGCCAGCCTTGGCGGCGAACTCAGACAGGCAGCGGCCTTCGAAAGAGCTCTGCTGCGAGGCGTGTCGCTGCAGCGGCTGGCAGCTGCGACGAGGTGCCTGAAATCGCTCTGGACTGTTGGCCTGGACGGCTGCGCGTTTGCCGGGGACGGGCGAGGGACGAGAGGGACACGCGGGCCGGCGGCAGCGTCACAAGCGAGTGAGGGGCAGATACGCACTGTCGAGCGGATGCTGGTGCGAAGGCGGCGGAGTGTCGTGGAGCGGCTGATGAGCGGCAGGCATGGGAGCCTGGCGTGCCGGAGTGAGCACACGAGCGCGCAAAGTACACGCCCCCCCTGTCCGTGCCTCGTCGTCGCCATGCGAGAGGCGGCCACAGCGCCTTTCGTCTGAATGCTGGCTTGACGCTTGCTAGCCCGGAGCGGAGCTACGGGAACCACCTGCAGAACAGGCGCCCGCTCGCCGGGAAGAGGCTCAAACGTCGCGAAGCCCGTGATGAAGGTCGCTCTTCATGCGATTGCGGCGGCTCGGGCGCTGGCTTGCAGAGACAGGAAGCAGCGCGGTCCTGAGGCCGCCGTTGGGATCCAGAGCCCGAGCGCCCGACGATCATCGCTGCTGCTGGATCTCGCACTGCCCGTGCTGAAGCGCGCTCGGCTGAGCCACGCACGGTTGCGCGAGCGCGTGCGTCCGCCACTCAGGGCGGCTTTGCTGTCCGCGCGTGGACGGGCGAAGGATAGCAGGAGTGCGCTCGCAGTCAGCATCTCCAGCGACCGCACGAGCCGTGACTTGGCGCGCTGACGGTCGCGCAAGGAGCGTATGCTGGCGGCGATCGATGCTTCTTTCGCTCGCTCCGCAGACGCTTCAACGCCCTGGCGCAGAGCCTGGAGCCGGCCGCTATGACTGCATGGCGGGCGTCGGCATGATCGTGCGCCGCTGCAGCTGCGGGAAGGCGTGCGTCGGCCGGCGCTCTGCGAGCTCGCTTGTCTTGTGTGTGGCGCGGTGCCTAGATGAGGTGGTGATGGAGGAAAGCAGACGCGCCGCGAGACGCGCCGCCGTGAGCAGGCGCCGGCATGCGAAACGGCCGCTCGCTCCGCTGCCTTGCAGCACACCCGTGCGCCAGCCAGCGGCCGCACGACAGCTTGCCCCGAGCTCGACCTCTTCTGGTGGGCTGCGAGAGACTCGGCCCTGCTCCATGTGACTGCTTCATCTTGTCGATGCCGGACGCGCAGAGCGAGAAGCAAGAACGGTGGGCAGGCAACGCTGCTCCCACGCGTGCGGGGGGTTCGCTGCGACACCCGGCAGCACTTGGAATCGCGCACGCTGTCGCGCGTGCGGCTCTCCACCCGGGGCCTGACGCTCGGAACCCGATCATTAGCTCGAGCTGAGCATTTCAAGCCATACGCGAGCTCGCCGACTCCCACATCAACGCCAGCGCCGTGGCGCAAGTCCGCCGCCAGCCGCGCGAAATGAGTCGCAGGAACGATCGCGCCGCACACGCCCCCTCTCGGCCTTCCCGAGCCTGGCTTGCCGATCCTTTCTGTTCGGCTCGTGCGTGGCCGACTAGTGCGGACGTGCACGAATGCCGCGCTCTCGGCACGCTCGCCGTCAGCTTGGGCTGTGGCTGTGCGAGAGACCCTTTGACTGTGTGCCGCCCGCGCCGCCTTGCCGGTCGGCCTCGTCCCGTGCTCTGCCTGTGCTGCACCAACGACGTGACCCTTGCGGCGAAGCTAAGCCTGTGCGACCCGAGCGCAACGAGGCTCGGGCGCGTGGCGGGCTGATTGAGCCCTGCGGTGGCGCAGCCAGGGCGAACAAAGATGTCATGCCCGGCGCTGGCTTGCTCGCAGCGCGCGCGCGACTTGCGAGACGAGGTGGATCTGGGCAAACGTCAGGGGGGCGTTCACACGACGCATCAAAGCGCCGTGGCGCCGCAGCACGCAGGAAGAGTCGAGCGTGCAGCATGCCAGCATGGCGTCTGCAGGATATCAGAGCAGGTCCGGGCGACGTTGGTCGATGCACTAGGCCGTCCCCTCCTCAACTCGAGCGGCGCGCGTGCGGTACCGCATTGCATCGTTTGGCGTCCTCCAGCTCCTGCGCGGCTGGCACGCTCGAGCGCACATGGGAGTGTCGTCGCTACGGCTGCTCTGTGGAGCCTGGCCTCCGTCAGCAGCTCGTGCGAGACAGCGGCGCCGCTGCAAACTCGTGCGAGAGCCTGACGCAGGGCGTCGTGCCGCGCACCTCTCCCTCTCGTCCGTCACGCCTCGTGCCGGCGGCAGTCGTGCCAAGTCACACTCGCTCTTTCCCGCTCCGCGCTCTCGCTCCTGCGCATCAGCATCGAAGTGACATGGCATGCTTAAATTCGGCCGCGGAGCTGGGGTAAAGGGGAGCGCAGGACGACACGTCAGGCTATAGATGGGGGTCAGATCGGGCCGGCGGGGGACCGCAGCGAAGAAGGGGCACACGCGTGGTGACGCAGGGACAACGGGGCCTCTAGGCGGAAGGGAAGGGGGGGGATGGAGCTCTGCGGACGACGCCTATCTGGCCACGGAGCCGCTCGGCCCGGCGCTGGGCCGGCCAGCGCGGATCTTGGAGATGCGGTCGGTGAAGGTCGAGGCGGTGGGCGACGTGCTGCCCAGGCCGGCCGGCGTGGTGCGTCCGCTGGCCGGCTGCTCGTTGGAGCTGAACCAGTCGAGGCTGTTCGACGTGCGCGCCGAGCCCGGCTCCGCGTCGGCAGCGGCGGCAGCCTTGCCGTCCGGGCCGCTCGAGAAGCGCTGGTGCGGCGCGTTGAGGCTCAGGGCGCCGAGCTGCGGCGTGGCCAGGTGCGGCGGCGGACTGATGGCACGCAGCGAGGCCGAGTCACGGCCCGAGCCGCCGCCCGGCTGCAGCACGGAGCTGGCGCGCGAGTGGCGCGAGCGCACGCTGCCGCGCCGCGTGCGCGCTGACATCTGCGACTGGTACTTCTTGTGCGCCAGGTCGCCGACGTCGTGGGCGCCGTTGCAGCAGGCACGCACGTTCTCGAGGCCGTCGAAGTTCTCGCCCTCGTCCTCCTCGAGCATCTGCTCGGCCGTCTGCAGGCGCGGGTCCAGCGGCGTCGTGGGCTCAAAGGTGGCGCGGTCCACGCGCCGCTCGCTGCCCGCCACGCTGCGCCGCGACGTCGAGACGCCGCCGATGGAGGCCGTGGGGCTCATCGGCCGCCCGCGCACGCTGTCCCACTGCTTCAGATACTCGTGCGCGGCAGTGTCGCGGCGCTTGCCCGTGAGCGTGCTCGAGGCGCCGATGCTGGCGCCGCGCCGCCGCGGCGTCGACTCGGTCGCCGGCGCAGAGTCGCGCTTGCGGCCCGGCGCCAGGCTGGCCATGCTGCGCGCCGGCGACAGGAAGCGCTTGCTGCCGATGGTGCCGTCGGTGCGCGTGCGGTCGTGCCCGGCCTTGCGCGGCGAGATGGTGCGGTCGGGGTCAAAGTCGGCGCTGCCGCTCTGCGCGCCGACGGCCGCGGTGGCCGCGCCGGCAGACGCCGAGTTGCGCTTGCTGATGAGGAAGTCGAAGGCCGTGAGCCACATCTCGTGGCGCTCGCGGTCCGGCGCAGTGATCTTGACGTCGCGCTGCGGCGTCTTGACGACAATCGACAGGTGGTAGAGGCCGGCCGGGCTCGGGTTCGTGTCCTCCACGACGCGCACGCCCTCGATGACGGCGCCCTTGCTCATGCCCTCGCGCACGTTCTGCGAGCCCGGATCAGACAGCGTCCAGTACAGCATATTCGTGTACGGGTGCAGCCAGAAGTAGCGGCGGTGCCGCTTCTCCGAGTGGCCGCTGCGGCCCATCGTGCGGCGCGTGTACTTGTGCAGATACTCGCCGATCATGGTCTGCGTGATGGCGTGGATGACCATCGGGTCGGTGCTCGGCGGCGTCAGGCCCGCCGCGCCGCCCTGCGCGCCGTCAGCTGCCGCATCCGAGGCGTGCGACGAGGCAAAGGACATGCGCCGGCTGAGCTCGGACGTGGCATCCGAGGCGAACGAGGCGGCAGAGGCGCCGCGCAGATGCAGTGCGCCGCCGAGCGCCGCCGCGTGCGAGCGGCGAGACGCTGTGCTCTGGCGTGCGCTGTGGATGCTGGCGGCGTCGCTCGCGCGCCCCGCGCTCATCGGCAGGCCGTTCTCTTGAGACATCGTGCGGGCGCGCAGGCTCGACAGAGACGGGCGCTGCCGGCTCGGCGCGCCGGGCGAGACGTACGAGGACGGCGGCGGCATGGCGGCTGTCGAGAGACGGCTCGCGGGCCGGCCGTGTCCATCGCTCGACGAAGGCGGCACCTGCAGCGTGCTGATGCGCCGATGCGCTGCCATCGCCACGAGCTCCGGCGGCGGCGGCGACAGCGGCCGCGCCGGTGCGCCGTCCAGCATGCTGGATGCGGCAGAGGGGCGCGACTTGACAGTCCGCTTCGACTCGACCGGCGGCAGCGTCGGCGGCGGCGGCATGCTCGGCGGCGGCGGCACGGCCATGACCGGCGGGCCCGCGCGGCCGAGCGTCGCAGCCTCCTCGGCGTCGGTGTAGCGCGATGAGTGCGTCGAGTCCATCGAGACGCGACCGCTCGGCGCGAGGCCGTGCTGGCGGTTGACGGCACCCGCAGTGTACATGACGGGCGCTGGCGACTCGGGCCGCGGCAAGCCGTCGCGGTGGCCACCGAACGTCGATGTCGAGTCGCGGGACGGCTGAAGAGTCTCGGCGTTGCTCGGGTGAGAGCCAAGAATGACCACGCCTGCTGCAGGCAATGTAGCGGCCGAAGAGACGCTGGACATGGCACGAGGCGCGCCCTGATAGCGCTGCCACGAGTCGTCATCTGTCTGCGAGGACGTGTCGCGCAAATCGGCAAGCACCACCTTGCGCACGCCTCCGTCTGTCTCCTCGTCTGCCGGCGTCTGTGGCATGTCGTCCGTCTCGCCGGCCGTCGAGTGCGTGCTGCTGCGGCCCATGGCCGGAGCAAGGAGGCTGCGCGCGCCGTTCACGCCAGTCAGCTTGCCCTCCTCGCTCGGCACCTCGGTGGCATCCTCGAAGGTGTCGTCGCGCTCCGCCTGAACAAGCGCCGCGCGAGCCTCGTCAAGCTCACGCTTGAGCGTGCTGGTCTCGGTTGCCGCCTCGCTGCGCGCTGCCGCCAGCGCGGCGTTCAGCTGTGCAGTGGCCGCAGAGGCAGTGGCAGCAGCAGCTGCAGCAGTCTTGGCGTCGGCACGCAGGCGGGCAAGCTCGGCCTCGAGCGCCGAGAGGCGACTGCGCAGCGCCTCGACCTCCTCGCGGCTCTTCTTGATCGCATCGTCCTTCTCGCGCAGTGTCACTTTGAACGCCGTCTCGAGGTCACGCACGTAGGCATCGTTGGACATTTGCAGGTCCTCGATCGCACCGGCGTGGTCCGTGTCCTTCTCTGCCAGCTCGGCGGCATGGTCTGCGCCAAGGCGCTCGACCGCACGGGCATGGTCGGCACCGAGACGGTCAATGACACGCTTGTGCTCTGTGCTCTGGTCTGCAGACAGCTTCTTGTGCAGCACCTCGGCGGCAGTGAGCGCAGCGGCGCCCTTTGCGACCTCAGCGGCGAGCGCCTGGGCGTGCCGCGAGCGGGCCTCGCCAATTGCAGCGTCGTGTTGCTGGGCCTGCTGCGCAAGCGCATTGTGCAGCTCGCCGGCGTGGCTCTCGTTGCGCGCAGCCATGGCCGCATCGTGCGCCTCGTCGCGTTTGTCGAGTGCAGCAGCGAGCTCAGCCGCGCGCTCCTCCAGCGCGCGCCGGTGCTGCGTGTCGCGAGTCGAGAGCGCCTGGGCGTGCGCGCTGTCGCGCTCCTCAAGGGTGACGGAATGCGCGAGGTGCAGCGCCGAGAGCGCGGCAGCGTGCTCTGCCAGAGCAGTGCTGTGCTGCTGCTCGCGCTGCTCGAGCTCTGCCAGCACGGCGCGGTGCTGCAGGTCGCGCTGCTGCAGCTCGGCGTGCGCGGCGTCGCGCTCGGCGATGAGCGGCGTGAGCAAGTCGGGCTGCGCCTCGGTCTGCGTGTCCTTGTGATCGACGGCAGCCAGCGTGGGCTCGCGCTCTAGTCCGAGCGCGCCCTGCGACGTCTCGCCAAGCAGCGCCGCGAGCGTGTCGGGCTGGTCGATGCTTGTGCCGCCGAGGCCGGCCAGCTCCGCGCCGAGGTTGCCGCCCTCGAGGCTGACGGACGCGGGACGGCTGCTGGGCGCGTGGCCCCACTGCTCGGTGTGACCGGAGGCGGAGCCGTCCTCGAAGGAGCGCTCCGAGCTCAGGTCTGCCTCTTCGCCAGCCAAATACGCCGTGCGCGAGAGCGGGCTGCCCTTGCCAGCCAGGTCGGCCTGCATGAGCGTCTTGCGTCCGGCACGTCGGCGCGACTTGGGCGCCGACGCGTACTCGTCGCCCGCAAACGCAGGATCCACGCCATCGAGGCTGGCGCGGCGCGCGGCCGAGTCGGAAGCCTCCTCCAGACTTGCGTCCTGCTCGTCGGCCTCCTCCTCGTCAAAGGCCATCGAGGAGCTGCGCGACGCTCCGAGGCCCAGACGGCTGGCGATGTTCGGCCGCGTGCTGCTCTTGGGCATGCGCATTTTGGCGAGACGGCCCGCCGCGGGACTGTCGGGCTCGTCGGCCCACTGCTCTGCCTCGTCGCCGCTGCTCTCGACGTCGGACGCGCTCGGCGCGCTCAGGCCAGCCTTTGTGAGCAGCAGGCGCAGCTCGGCGTTCTGCTCGCGCAGGCGGCGCTTCTCCATCGAGTCCTTGCCCGTGCGCTTGTGCGCCATCGCAAGCTTGGCGCGCAGGTCCGTCAGGTCGCGGTCCTTGTCCAGACGCTTGCCGAGCGGCGAGTGCCCGCCCGCATCGCCGTCCAGAGCCGCACCTGGCGAGCCGGGCACCGCCGAGCCGCCGCGCCTCCGCGCTGCGGCATCGCCGCTGAAGTCGTCGTCGTCATTGCGCGACGTGTCGTTGCTCAGCAGACTGCGGCTGAGGCTGCGGCTGAGGTTGTCGCGCTCGGACGCGCGCTGCGCCTCGGTGCGCGCGGCGCTCAGCAGGGCGTTGAGGTCGCTCATCTCGCGCGCCATGCCCGCCTTCTCCTTGCGCGCCACGGCCGTCTCCGTCTCGCGGATGCTGCGCAGCTTCTCCAGCTCCTCGGCATTGGCCTCGAACTGCACGCGCTGCGCCTCGAGCTGGTCGCGCGTCTTGAGCAGGTCCTTGTTGACGCGCGTGCGCTCGTTCTCGGCCTTCTTCAGCAGCGCCGTCTGCGCGGCCAGGTCGCTTTCGAACTGCTGCGCCGCAATGTTCAGGTCCCAGTTCTCCTGCTTGAGCTTGTCTGTGCGCCGCCGCAGTAAGCACGTAGCGCCGCGGAGCAGGCGCGCGTGGGCCACTCACCCTCAGCCTGGATCAGCGCCAGTGCGCGAGGCTTCCAGCTGCCGAGCTCCTTCTCCGTCTCCTCCTTTGCCTCGCGCAGGTTGCGGATCTCGCCGTCGCGCTCCAGCAGCAGGCCCTGCAGACGCCGGATCTCCTTGACCAGATTCTCCTGCAGCTCATTGACAAGGCTCGCGTCGCCGTTGCCCGCCGGCGCCGCCGCGTTGCGCGCTCGCCGGTCCGTCTGGCGCGGCGTCGGCACGGGCGGCGGGCCCATCTCGCCGCGGCCCGGCGTGCCCGATGCCGCACCGGCACCGAGCGAGGAGCGCAGGAAGGAGGAGCGCGGCTTGGTCGGCGACTCGGGCGGCGCCATGGCCGTGCCCGACGCCTCGAGCTCCGAGTCCTCGGACATGGACGAGTGCGAGCTGGTGCGGCTCAGCGCGTTCTGGTCGGCGCTGCCCAGCGGGCCGTTGCCGAGCTGCTGCGCCGTGCTGGAGCGCGGCAGCGGCGGCGGCGGCGATGCGGCACTGGCATTGGCGCCGAGGTCGGCGGCTGACTTGCGCACGCCGCGCCGCAGCGACGAGCCGGGGCGCGATGGCGGCTTGAAGGCCAGCTCGCCGCCGAGCGACGTACGCGACGCGGGCGACGGCGACGGCGGGCCCGCGTCGAAGGTGGCGTCGTGAGAGAACGACATTGCCGGCTTGCGGCCTGGCGAGAGAGAGAGAGAAAAGGTCAGAAGAGAGTGGGCGCGGAGCACGCAGAGTGCCGTGCGCCGCCTGCGCCTCGCACCACTCACAGGCCGCGCCGGCAGGGAGACAGAAGCGCAGAGGCCGGTGCAGGCGTGAGAGCCGCGGTCGCCGGAGTGGGCTGCGCGGACGACGAGCGTGTGTGCTCGGCGAGAGGGTCGGGGATGAGCTGTGAGTGTGAGAGGGCAAGAGGGCGGCCAGACAACAGCGCGGCAAGAGCGGCGGCAGCGGCAGCACAGGCACGGCCGCGGCGCCTCACACGCAGCAGCGCGCGCCACGCTAAAACGGCGCGCCCAGGCGAGGGGGTCCGCGCGGCCGCGCCTAACTGTAACGGCGGGCCTGGCACGGAAGCAGTCGGACGTTCAGGCTGCCTTGTGCCGTGTGGCTTCCCCTCCCGTACAAACATCAAAGCAAGCTCAGCTCGGCTGTTGTGTGAGCTGAGAAGAGACGCAGAAGGAGCCGCTGGCGGTGCTGCAGCTGCTGCAGACGCAGGATAGGCTCATGGCGCAGGCTGCGGGCGTGCGTGCAGCGGGCGCTGAAAGGAGCCCGAGGCGGCGGCGGCGGCGGTGTTGTTCTGCCGCCGCCGCGCGCGCTTCGGCCGTGTGCCTGCATCTGTCAAGCGGCGCTCCTCGCGTGCCGTGCACGTGATGCGCCCTCCTCTCCCCCTGGCCTCCTCTTCCGCTGCCACTGAGCGTCTAGATTGCTTCTCCCGTCTCCTTGCCGTCTCCTTGCAACTATCCAGCTGGGGGGCGTCACCGCCACCGCGCCGCATCTGCACCTCGGGCGTCGTCACCTCTCATGCGAGCTGCTGCACCTTCCACTTGAGCGCGCCCGCCGCGGCGCCGAGCGCCACGACGAGCCACGGCGGCATGCGCCAGTCCTTGACGAGCACAAAGGCGAACGCCGCCACGATGGGCCAGAACGGGTGGCTGGCCAGCGAGCCGGACTCGGTGTGGCCGCCGGGCGAGGCGTGCAGGTTGCCGACTGCAAGTGGATGATCAGCCTCAGGTGGAGACACAGCACAGCGCGGCGCAGCACTCACCTTGGAAAAGCTGCCACACAGCCGCGAGCACGAGGCCGGACGCCGCCGGCGCCAGGCCGCGCAGCATGCTCTTGACGGCGCGCAGCGACTTCCAGCTCTTGTACGCCGGCAGCAGCGCCAGCTTGAGCAGGATGCCCGGGTAGAAGATGCCGACGAACGCCAGCGCACTGCCGAGCGGCAGGCAGGCGCTGCCGAGGCGCGCCGAGATGGCGAGCCCGCCGAGAAAGCAGGAAAAGGCAAAGTTGGGGCCGGGGAAGGACTGCAGCAGCGCAAAGCCGAGGAGAAAGTCGCGCGAGGAGACGAGAGAGGTGGAGACCATGTAGCCGCGCAGCAGCGGAATGACGACGGGCCCTGACGATGCCGGACACGCTGTTCAGCTCACGGCTGGCCTTAGCGCTCTCCTGCCGCAGCATCCACTTACCTCCGCCAAAGATGATCGTGCCGGCCGTGAACATGCTCGTGAAGACCTCGGCGAGCACGCCCATGGGCCGGCTGCGCACGACGGCGACGGCCAGCACGCTGGCGACGAAGACGGCCACGAGCGCCAGGCCCCACTTGGGCGGCAGCGTCATGAGGTGCTCCTCTTCCTCGGCCGCCTCGGCCTGCTCTTCGAGCGAGCCGTGGGCAGCGGACAACAGCGGCTGCTGCTCGGCGGCGCTGGAGCTCAAGACGGCACCGCGGTAGTCCCACAGCAACAGGAGGAGGCCGCCGCTGAGCACGCAGGCGGGATACACCTGGCACCAGCATCAGCAACCAGAAGGTGGCAGACTGCCTCTCGAGCTCTCTCCGCCGCCCACACTCACCCAGCTGGCGCTGTGCAGCAGGCTCAGCGCGGCCGTGCCGAGAAATACGAGCTGTGTGGCGCCGTCGGTGATGCTGCTGAGTGCGAGCTGGTACGCGGCCAGCGCGATCATGCCCACCGCCGCAGCATTGACGCCCGAGAGCGTCGAGAGCACAGAGGGCGGCAGCGACTCGGGCAGCGAGCGCACGCCGGCCGCTGCAAGGCAGGACTGCGGTGAGTGCCAAAGTCGGGTGAAGCCGCGATGCGCCACCCACCGAGCGCAGTCATGCCGATCGCGGCGGGAAAGGACCAGAGGCAAAAGGCCAGCAGACCCGCCACGGTGCCGTTGCGCACGAGGGCAATGCTGAACGCCAGCTGGGTCGAGCCAGGACCGGGCAGCGCACTGGCTCGGAAGTCAGCCGGCGAGGCGAGCTTCGACGACGATGGGAGCAGCAGACGCACTTGCCGAGGGAGAGCAGGTCGTTGAACGTCGCCGACGAGACCCACTTGAGCTCATCGACGAAGCGGCGCCTGTGAGGCGTGTGGGTGGTGGTGAGCCAGCGCAGCAGCAGCAGCAGCAGAGCGCCTCGACCGCGCCGGCCCTCGCTCTCACCGCAGCAGCACGACGTGCACGCCCGGCCCTGTGCATCGTCGGTCAGCATCCGCACGCCGCCTCTGCCTGCGCTCGCGCCTCTCGCTGAGCGCTCACCGCCAAAGGAGATGAAGCCGAGCGGCGCGAAGTGGCGCAGCGTCTCGGCGACGCGTGCCGTCAGGCTGCGCTGCTGCAGCCGCAGCTGCGGCGCATCGCGCGTCTGCGGAAGGGGCATCGCTGGCGGCTGGAAGGGCGCTGGCTCGAGCCTGCCTGAGCGCCTCGGGTGCTTGAGGATGGTGGCAGGAAGAGGGCTGCCTGCGGCTGGTGGAGCACACGCTGTCCCCACTCAACGCCCCCAGGGACACGGCTGAATTTGAAAGTGCGCAGCGTGCAGGTGCACCCAGAAACGCTCCTGCAGCTGCAGGCCAAGAGGGCGAACGTGCGTGCTCGAGCGGTGCGCTTGCGCCTTCGAAGGGCTGCAGCTGCCGTGCGCCGGGCGCTGAGCCCGTCCACGCCCGAGCGGCGGCGTCTTGCTTCCCTCCATCATCACCATCCGTCGCCTCACTCGCGAAGCCCAATCACCTCTCCTGCCGCGCATGCATGAACAAAGCGATACATATTCAGGACAGTGGGCACACAGGCGCAGAGTGAAGGACAGTGAAGGGATAAAGATACAGAGGTAGGGATCCTCGGCGAGGGGCCCAGGGCACGAGGGACTCCCTACGGCTCGAGCGACGGCACCACGCGTCCACGCGGCGTCCGAGCCCAGCGGCGGCCATCCGACGACGGCGGCGGCGGCGGCAGGCGGGCGCTGTACGGGTGCACCGGCTCCGGCTCGGCCAGCGGCGCCTCGTCGTCCTCGTCGTCGTCGCGCACCTCGAATGACGGCGCAAAGGGAGGCATGGCGCTGCGAATCGAGCGTGAGTCGGCCACCTTGGCGTACGCCTCTGCCGCCTCGTCGCTGTCGGCGTCCTGCTTCTCGGCGTCGACGTAGTGGTCGAGACGCGTGGTGCCGGTGGACGAGGCGCTGCCCTTGCGCTCGACGACGCGCGAGGGCAGTGCATAGCCTTCCTCCTCGTGGATGATGTGGTCGAGCAGGCACGACGGCAGGTCCTCGGCGTTGCTCTTGGTCTGATGCACCTCGGTCGTCATGTGCACCGAGAGTTCGCCGAGCTGGCGCTGCCGGCGCTGTTCCTTCTTCAGCATGATCTTCACGAGCGGCTTGGCCAGCGATGCCGGCGCCGCAGTGCTCGCCGCCGCCGTGTCGATGCAGCGGCGCTCCGGGCCGGCCGTCTCGCTGATCGCCAGCTCGCGCGCGATGGAAGGACGAGAGAGCAGCGTGACGAGCATGGAGCCGCCGTAGACGATGCCGATGGGCAGCACGGTGATTTGGTAGAAAAAGTCGGACGGCAAGCGCAGCATGAGGATCATCGACGCCAGCGAGAAGCCCGTGGTGAGCAGACACGTCTCCTGCACGGGGGTGGGGCGTCAGTGGCTGCATGGCATCGCAGCTCCATGCTGTCGACGTCCGCACTCACGAAGCTGAGCAGCAGCAGGCGCGCAATCGCATGGCGCGTGTGGTACGACGGACTCTTCATGCTGCCGAGCTGCGAGGCGAGCACGAAGAAGAGGCCGAGATCGACGGCGGTGCACGAGACGAGCCAGGTGGTGAAGACGACGCTCCACTGCCACGGCGCACTGTGCGGCTGCCACGACTGCAGCGCACTGCCCTTGACGTTGGCGGCGGAGCCGGACTTGATGATGAGCGCGCTCGACGCCACGCCGCCGGCTAGTGCTGCGAGAGCTTGTCAGCATGGATGCGCGATGAGCACGGCACGGAGACTTACTGTACGCGATGAGGATGCCGGCGGGGATGTACACCAGCAGCGGGCGTCGCATAGCCCGGGCCGAACGGTGGGTGAAGTAGGATTGGCTGGGTGTGGACGGGCACTCGTCAGCGGCTAGAGCGCGTATCGTCGGCAAGGCAACGCACGAGATGGCCGCCATGATGGCCGCGATGGTGTAGTTCATGCTGATCTCCCAGCCGACGGTGAGCAGCGGGAACGTAAAGGCCCCTGCCGAGCATGGTCAGCTCAGGTCGGCGTGCCAAGATGCAGCAAGCCGCCTCACCGAAGTTCGCCTGGTGCGTGAGAGGAATAGGGAAGGGTCAGCAGAGCACGGCAGATGCGGCGTGTTCATGCGGCCACTGACGACGTGCAATCTGTGCGAAGCAGCGTGTGAGTCTGACGCCCTGTGCGTTGTGCCGATGCCCACTCACGCATAGAGACGGTGAATGAGGCCCGCCGCATTGAGCATCGAGAGCACCGCCATCAGAGCCACGGCCATCTGCAGCAGCACGCGGTCCGAGCCGCGGGCGCCGAAGCGTTCAAAGTACACCCAGCAGCCCGTGACGAAGGCGCCGGTGCAGATGAGGTCGAGCAGCGCGCCGAAGAAGACGCCGGAGAGCAGGCGCACAAAGCCGTCCTGCGTCGTGGGCGAGGAGCGTGCGCCGCCGGAGCCCGTGTCGATGGAGCTGCCGGCGGCGGCGGCGGCGTCGTTGGCCGACGCTGAGCCGCCGTTGGTGGCGCCGTCGATGTTGCTGTGCGAGACGTGAGCAAGGCATCACGAAGAGAGCCCCGCTCGGTGCTCACGTGTTGTTGCCCGCCGTCGCCGCCTGGCGCGAGAGCAGCGGCAGCACCAGCTCATCGACAGCCGGCGCCGCGCCCGCGAACTCGCTGGCGAGCACGATGAGCACCGCCGCAAGCAGCGTGAGGCGTACTGTACGTGGGAGAGGCATGATGTACGGTAAGGGATCCGGGAAGGGGAGGGACGGTGTGAGAAGGGACGGCCGCACGTCGCCCCTTATGTGGCGGCGACGGATGAAGAATCAGACGATCGCGCGAGGCCGCCAAGCGAGGCACCATCGCCGGCTCCGGCCTGACGCAATGTACCCCTCATTTGGTCAAGGTGCGGCTTTGAAGCGGTCTTGAGGCACATCTCGCTTAGCTGCAGGGCGTGCGCGCGCGTCTGGTCGTTGACGACGCACGCCCAGGGGCTCGACCGGCCGTTTAGCTCCATAGTTGATGAGGAGGGGCGGCGGCTGAAGGAGGACGCTGCAGGCCGGCGCTGCTTGCGGATCCACTCTCCGGCCGTGGCGGCCCGATGTGCCTTGCGCTATCAGCCGAAGTGGGGCCAGGCCGCAGCATCGCCCTCACGGAGCAACGGCCTGCGGGCCTTGGAAAGCTCGTGGGGCCTCACGGAGCGCTCGTGCGCGAAATGACGAACGAGCTCTTGCGTGGAAGCTAGGTAAGAGGCCGAGATGAAGCAGGACACACCAGAGCAGCGCAACGACGTCACACAAGAGGCTCGGGCTCATGAGCCGCCGCAAGAGCACGAGCGCGAGCGGAGCCGCCGTCGGCTGCACCCAGGGTGTCGTGGTGCCCGGTACGGGTTGCTTCAGGAGGCTCGAGCGGCGAGCGGCCTCATCAAGCGGACTCTCGGGTCGGCGACGCCCGCACCGCGCTTGTCTCTGTTGTACGCATGGAGAGCAAGCGGGCTCTTGCCTCGCACGGTGCGTGGGGCCTGGCAAGCTCGAGGCCCTGGGGCGCGAGCGCGCTCGGGCCGCTGCTCCGGCAAAGCGAGCGCTGCTCCGTAGAGTCACGCTCCCCGCAGCAGCTTGCAGGTGCTGGAGAGCTGAAGCGTCCTGACTCCATGAGCCGAGGCAGCGGCGAGCTACCTCCACTGCTTCTGTAAGGCGCCGTGGCGAGCTTGCGCAAAGCGAATCAAGGCCCCGTCGCTTCTGCCGAAGCCGCAAGAGCCACTGAGTCGACGCTGTAATGCGCCTCGAGGAGACAGCTCGTGCGGCATGCGGTGCACGGTGGCTTGAGTCTCCACGACGCTCGTGTCTCCCCTGCTCCCACTTGGCACCTCGAGACCTCGTCGCGGCCGAGCTCTTCTGCAGACTTGACCTCTGTCCACGCGCTCGACACATGCCCGCCGGCCGGGCCGTGCGCGGGCAGAGCACAACGAGCGCACACCTCATGCCAAGCTTGCTGCAGAATCGTCCCGCCGGACATGTGGCACTCTTGTGAGCGCCGGCTGCAGCTGTGCGTCGGGAGACAAGTGAGCAGCCCATGGTGGCGTGGGACGGAGGCGTCTGCGCGAACGGAGGCGTCATTCTCGGTGGGCACCAGCGTCGACTCACGGCCGCGGCGAGGGGCCAGCAGCAGCAGCCGCAGCCTCGCCGTGCCTTGCGCGTGGGAAGCAGCGGCGAGCGAGGCGCACCTCCACGCCGTCGCCTCGACGTCGTCGTCGTCGCTTGACAGATGTCCGAAGGCCGAGTTGCGAGCCGTCATGCGGCGGGCGGCTGGCGGCGTGGGCGTGTCTGAATCTGGATGTGCAGCGCAGCGCTGCGCAACAGCCGCGGAGCTGGACGTCTGGGCCTGCGGAGGAGGCCTGCTCGGAAAAAGTACGCAGTGCCAGCTGCTGCTGCATGCCCTCTGCCTCGGCGAGGTGCCCGAGGCGGCGCCGCAGCCTCGGGCGGTGTGCTTGAGGTGCGGGGAAGCGTCAACGCGCAGCGGCGCCCCCTCTCTCTCTCTCGGTGCAGGCGCCGTGCCGCTCTCGCCTCTTGCGGCGCTGCCCGTCTTCCGCGTGCGGCAGCCAGCTGAAAGGCGCCGCCAGCTGCGCGCTGCAGGGTTCCCGCTCGCCTCTCGCTTGCGCACGCCGCTTGCGAGCGAGCGCCGGCCGCCGCTACGCGCCTTTGCGCAGGTGCCGCTGCCGCTGCGAGGCTGAGCCCAAGGCTTGCGGGCTTGCGGCCATGCTGCGCTGACGGAGCGGCACTTCCGAGCGCAGCGGCGTGGCCGCCCAGCAGGTGCAGCAGATGGCGGTGCGGGGACGCGGCGCGCTGCTCTCCACTTTGGCACGCGCCTCAGTGCCAATAGCCGAGCCCGATCTGTCCCACCTCTCTTCGCCTCTCACCACCACCATCCCACATCAAGCCCTATCCTTATGTCTGACGCGCTGCTCGACGACGCGCGTGCGCTGGCGCAGGCCGTCGTGGCACGCACGGGCTACGTGCTGCCCGCCGTGCTGCTCTACCTCCTCTACCTCGCCCTGCGCTACCCGGACCGCGTGCCCGGCACCGTCTCTGCGCGGCTGCGGCCACAGGTGTATGCGGTGCCCAACACCTGGCCCATTCTGGGAAACACCATCAACGTCGTGCGCCTCGGCACGGCGCAGCAGTTCGAGCGCTTCCTCAAGCTCACGCAGGATGCGCCGCACCACGTCTGGCGCATGACGGTGTTTGGGCCGGGCAGCGTCATGCTGCTCAACCGCCCCGAGTACATCGAGTACATGCAGAAGAGTGAGTGCGCCGGAGCAAGCGGCTCGGTGCGATGCAGTTGCCCGTGGGACGGCCGAGTGGCATGGGGCGAGGCGCGGCGCCGTCGTCTGCGCTGCATCGCTGCATGGCCGTGCCGCTGCGGTGTGCGACACTGGCCTCGCCGCGGCCCTGCTGGCTGCGCCGATGTGCTTCTGCCGCACTTGCCCGCATCGCTGCCACGCTTGCTGACCCCACACGCACGTCGCCCAGCGAACTTTACCAACTACGACAAGGGGCAGCAGTTCCGCTCGCGCTTCGGCGACCTGCTCGGCACGACGGGCATCTTTGTCGCCGACGGGCACGTGTGGCGGCAGCAGCGCAAGCAGGCGAGTCACATGTTCTCCAGCAAGGCCTTCTCGACGTGGATCCGCAGCGTCGTGCACCACGAGCTCGACGACGTCGTCGGCCTGCTCGAGAATCTCTCTGCGCCCGGCGGCGCGGGCAAGCTGTGCATGACGGAGCTCTTCTTCCGCTACACGCTCTCCTCCTTCTCCAAGATGGCCTTCAGCGCCAACCTCGACTGCCTCTCGCCCGACCCGGCCAGTCTGGAGAAGCCGGTGCCCTTCGCCATGGCGTTTGACGGCGCACAGGGCATCATCAACAAGCGCTTCGTCACGCCCGCCTGGCAGTTCATCGAGCGCTTCAGCGCCGACGGCCGCGAGATGCGCACTGCCTGCCGCGTCATCCGCGACTTTGGCATGGGCATCATCAGCGAACGCATCGCAGAGCGGCAGGGCGGCGAGAAGGCGCCCTTGGTGGAGAAGAAGAGCGGCGAGGCGGACGCGGAGCAGAGCCGCAAGGGCGCCAACAAGAAGGACGGCGCCGATCTGCTCGGTGAGTGAAAGGACTTACGCCTCACCTCTCACGCATTCGCCGCTCACGCCCCCTCTCAGGCCTCTTTATGGACCTCACGAGCGACCCCGAGGAGCTGCTCGTGGTGGTGATGAACTTCATCATCGCCGGGCGCGACACGACGGCGCAGAGTCTCTCGTGGTTCTTCTTTGAGCTGCTCGCCAATCCGCAGCATCTCGCCGTAATCCGCGCCGAGCTGGCCGAGGCGTTTGGCGCGCCCGAAGGAGGCATTCGGCTCGAGTACGAGCAGGTCAAGATGCTGCCTTACACGCTGGCCTGCTGGAGCGAGGCGATCCGCCTGCATCCTGCCGTGCCCAAGAACGGCAAGGAGGTGGTGGCCGACGATGTCATTGTGCCGCAGGGCCCCAACCCGGACAACCTGCCGTCGATTCCCGTCTTCAAGGGCGAAAAGGTCGGCTGGAGCGACTGGGTCATGAACCGCCTGCCGGCCGTGTGGGGCGAGGATGCGGCAGAGTACAATCCGCTGCGCTTCCTCGAGCGCGACACAGAGGGCAAGTGGACGTACGTGCAGCACTCGCAGTGGAAGTACCACGTCTTCAACGTGAGTCGAACGAGGCCTCGCCCATGCTTTTTTTCTTTTTGCGTGGCCCCTTTTGCTGAGCCATGTTGTTTCTTAGGGCGGCCCGCGGCTGTGCCTGGGCATGAACCTCGCCAACTACGAGGGCCTGGCGCTCATCGCCGCCACGCTGCCGCAGTTCGACTTCCACTGGGCCTCCAAGGCCGAGGGCCAGAGTGAGTGCCCGACTTTGCTTTCGTGCTCCTGCGCGCGGCACGGTCGACGTGCGCCGCCGCCGCCGCCTCTCGTCTCGTGAGGCCCCCACCATCGTGCTGACACACCTCGCTGCCCTCCGCTTAGCCGCCGAATGGCCCCTCACATATCTCAACTCCGTCACGCATCCGTCGGTGCCGTACGTGCTCAAGGTGACGCGTCGCGAGGCCTAAGGAGAGACCGCCATCGTCTGTCTGCCCGTCCGCCCGCCCGCCCGTCCGTCCGTCGCATCTTCACCATCTGTAGCCCCTCATGGCCCCTCCTCGACTCCCTGCTCCTCTGACTCTCGCTCTGCCGCCGCTCGGTGACGCACTGCCTTGCCCTTCTGCTCTTATACCGCCGGCCCCTTCGATCAATCTGTACGTAATGCACTCGGCGGATCCGTCTGCCTCCTCTCTCTCCCGCCTGAGCCCTCCTCATGAATCTGGTATAAAATTCCCCCCGCGCGGCGCCCGCCCGGTGGAGCATACGCTACGACGTCTCGTCGTGCGACAGACTGACGACACCCTTGATGGACGCCTCGAGCGCGTCGAGGCGCGCAGACATTTCCCGCACTGAGAAGGAGAGGGA